GTGTGTGTGTGTGTGTGTGTGTGTGTGTGTGTGTGTGTGTGTGTGTGTGTGTGTGTGTGTGTGTGTGTGTGTGTGTGTGTGTGTTTTTTGCAGCCTGTCCTCCTGAGGCTGCTTGAGAAGAAGCGGAAAAACCCCGGCAACAGGTCAATTAAACAACCCCGCAGGTCAAAAAACAAAAAACGAAAACAGTCCTGTGGCGAATCCGTGTATCCACACCGGTAGGATATGAAAAGCAGTGCCGAAAAAAGGACCAACGTCAACCAGCATCAGGGAAGTAGCTTATAATCAAGGGTTGTGTTTGGGAAGAAAAACCTGCAGCTGGACGACATGGAGTCAGGTGTCCGGTTCTTTTAGTTGTCACTGGCAGTGTGTGTGTGTAGGTTATAACTTGGGCTATGACCATGGTTATACCTGGTACATGGTCTGTTTGAGGCTCAGTACGGGAACACTGGGGGGGATTGTGAGGGAGAGCCTTACCCGGGGTTGTAAGTAGCAGGAACACCCAAGTAGAAATGCAGGTTTCCTTTTGGAGCTATGTCTTCTCGTGAAACGTGTCTAAGGCAGAAAAGGTTAAATGGGCGGCGTCCCTTCTGAGTTTCCCATCATGGACCCCTCGTCGTCAGCCAAGCCACAGTCGCCGGGCATCTTTCGGAGCTTTGTGGATTTGCCCGAAAAACATATTGCGTGCGCGACCTGTTGCGTCTCACAATATTCTGCCAGGAACCTCGTCCCCCAGTTTTTGTGGGAAATTTAGTGCCGGACCTAGTGCATTCTTTGATCGAACCTGGTTTGGGAAGGGTTCAAAATTCGGCAGAAAAGAACAAAGCGAAGGGGTCGTCATGGCCATCTGCAAATTTGTGCAGAAGTCTCCAAAAGGACCCAAAAGTTTGCTTCATAGGTGTCACATGGATGGGTTTCCCTGGTAAATGGGGCAAACAACCAATCTCAACCAGCGAAACCCGTTTCTAACCAAACAAACCGACACCTATGGCCAAGGCTTCAGACCTTTTAAGTCCAAGCCCTCGAGTCTCTGTGAAGAAAGGTGCGAACGGGAAGCACCACATTGACATTGCCACAAGGTGTCCTGAAATGTTGGGACCCGCGTTTCAGTAGGTGTTCAATGGAATGCCAAGGACATCAACCATCTCTACGGATCACCTAGTTTAGAAACCATGTCCAATCAAAGGCTGGCGACGCGCGCCTCTCCGTCTGCAGTGACCACCTGGCCGAAGCTTGGTTTGCCCCCGATCAGCGAGCTCACCGAAGAAAAAGACTGAGCCCCTCGCAAAGGAAGGGGAGTCCCCTAAAAACAGACACACCCATTAAAAAAGGTTCCATTGAATACGTTTGGGGTTTCCCGGCAACCATTCGACACGCCACAATGAAACTGCGAAAATGTGTGTAGGGCCTATCTGCGGACCTGCTTTTGGCTTCTTTTGAAAGAGAAAAAAAAGGGGGGGGAACCCCACCCCACCCCACCCCACCCCACCCCACCCCACCCCTAAACAAAGACACACCCATTTGTTTCCCAATCTCCGCTTCGTCGCTTCGTTTCGCCTTCACAGCTGGCACCTCGCGCAACTCCGCCCGGAGCGCCTGGAAATTGATGCGCTTGGCGAAGCAAATCGGGTGAAGTCGTATGGGGTTCCAATGGGTTCCACATGGGGCGGGTGTGTGTTTTTCAGGGTACCCCAAAACGGGGTGTAAAGGGCAACCAAAAGGAACACCGAAATCCATCTTTGCGGGTTCCCCTCTTTTGACACGGTTTCAAATGCATGTTGTAATGAATGGATTGGCACTTGCAAAATTTCGATCTCAAGCCCTGGTTGATGGCGCAACCCTTCTTAGAAAACATCGCTCCACCCTGCTCATCCAAGAGGTCAATGAACCCTGAAAGAACCTTCTAAGACTTTGCCCAACTCTGGGGTGCACCAAACAGTATCTTCAGATTCGGATCCTTCGTACTTGGACCCTAGACAAAAAATAAAAGGACACCCCAAAAGAGGCTATCCTCCTACTGTTCTTCTAACTCTAGCCACCTACTAAACTGTCTGGGTGTCTTTGTTTGCTTGCTTGATTGTTTGCTTGCTTGCTTGCGTGCGTGCGTGTGTGGTTGGTTTCCTTCTTTTGTGGTTATTTGTTTCTTTGATTCGTTTTTCCTTGTTTTATTTCCTTCGCCTGGTTTCTTGGATTTGTTGTGTTTGATTGCTTCTTTGCTTCTTTGGTTCTTCGGTTTTTTGGTTCTCTGGTTCTTTGTGGTTTTGTTTATTTGTGTCGGTCTTCTCTGTTGACTTGGTTCCTTGGTTCCTTGGTTCTTTGGCTTGTCGTTTCTTTGTGTCGCTGGTTCTTTGCTTCTTTGCGAGATTAGATCTTCCCTTTCCGCGGCTCTCTGTTTTCTCTGGTTCTTTTGCGTCTTTGCCTTGTTGTTTCTTCGTTTCTTTGGGTGTGCGCTTCTTTAATTATGTGCTTCTTTGTTTCTTTGTTGCTTCCGTTGCTTCTG